TTACTTATCAAAAACATAACAAAAATATACTTGTAAAAGCTTCCTCTCCTACAATATATATTTAAACATGTTTGATCCACATTGATCAGTAAGGTTTATCTATTTTATCTTTAAGGACTTTTTCAAGCTGGTCAATGAGTTGCCATGCAACTGAATAAAAATTTTTAAAAATCAAATTAGTTTTCTCATATATGCCAGGATAAAATTAATCAATCAGAGGTTTCCGATATTTCAACTTGATACCATTAACGTTCTTGATAATGATGACTGATAATCGAACGTTCTAAAAATAAAACATGATCTTTAGCCTGTTTTCTTCATAAATATGATCCAACCAAGATAGCTTCATTAAACATAGTCCCACTTTGAGGCGCCCAAGAAAATTACGTTAATACTCAATTCGACAATGATAAATATAACAGTAGTTAAAAAAAAAATAACCGTTCATTATATTAGGAAAACTAGTCATAAGGAATACTGGAAATCATATTGTAGTGTAACAGAGTAGGTAAGTTGGTGTCGATGTATTATTTTCCCCGTTATTATTCTTTGTTGGCTCTAACTGGGTCGGTATTAAATTGGGTGTAACAGAGTTAGTGTTAATGACAGAAAATAAAATGCATAAAACGTACAATAACAGCAATAAAAACTTGAAATACGTGTTGACATAAATAACAAGAATTTGTATTTTCTTTTTATGTTGTGAATTACAGAATATTGGTATGGTGTGTGTAAAATGTTTTCAGTATCTCTTTCGTTTAAAAGTCAGTGCTTACTTGGCTTGGTTCCGAGAATTTCGTTTGTGAGGATAGCGTTTGAAATCGTTTGTTTTAGAACTTCACGGACCGCTGGCTAGACGTATGTTTCTGTACTGCTACTTGTCTACTCATCACTGACTACTGTTACAGGTACACTAGTCTACTCTACTGTTCTCTATTCTGCTAATTCCCTTGTGGTCGTTTTTATAATGATGAAGGTTAGGATAATATCCTTCTTTCCTGTCATCACTGATGACAAGGTTATTTTTAGAATGATGAAACATCGTCATCATTCTGGAGCATAGCAACAGTTTCCATAATAATGTCGAATGATGTTTAATCTTTTTTTATCGCTTTCCTTCACTATTTTCTGTAAGTGTTTTTGTAGCTTTCTTTCTGTGTCTGCTATCAACAGTGTTATCCGTATACCTTATGTTGTTAAGATAGTGGCCGCCAATAATGAATCCTAGTAGAACTTCTAGTTCTGACAGAATCGCCTTGCTGTATAGGTTGAAGTCCGGTGAGAAGACACACACTTGTCTTACACCATTTTCTATTTTTGTATATCTACTGAATACATTTTCTATCCGTATGCAGCCATTTTAGGTTCTAGATTATTCGAATTGCCCAAAATAGGAAAAATTAAAATATCATAAATTGAAATTATACTATTCTCTTACGATTGAATGACTGAATACCACGTCTAGAAATAAATAAAAAATTGCTTATCGACTCTGGCTCTGTTTAAGAATCGTAAATACAGAAAACATAATTATGCAAAAAAACAACAAACGAATTTTAAATTAAAAATGACTGCTATTAGTAGAAAGTTCTGAATAAACAAAATGATTGTTTTCTTGCTTGTTTCTTTTTTTTTCTTTTTCAAGTCTGAAAGAAACATTTTTAAAGAATGTCCTCGAGTAAATTGTTTCAAGAAGTAGAAGTGGTAAAAATAAGAAACGTTCCGTGTGTGTGTGTGTGTAAATAAACAAAAATAAAGATTGTGTTTCGCCAAAAAAAAAAAAAATAGTTGTTTAGAGTATTTCTGAAAGATAATGTCTTTCCTACAAATATTTTCATGGCAACTGTTCTGACATGCTTTTTCCCTCATGCTCTGATTATATGAATTCAAACATACTACTCGATTGGCAACTAGGTCACACCGTTTTATTGTTGAAATAACTAAGTGCAACCGTCACTTCTACAACAACAATTTCAGGCCGAGGTAGAGAGGAATCTATATTGACATCTGTAGGCCGAGGCAGAGAGGAATCCATATTGACATCTGTAGGCCGAGGTAGAGGGGAATCTATATTGACATCTGTAGGCCGAGGTAGAGAGGAACCCATATTGACATCTATAGGCCGAGGTAGAGAGGAATCTATATTGACATCTGTAGGCCGAGGTAGAGAGGAACCCATATTGACATCTGTAGGCCGAGGTAGAGGGGAATCCATATTGACATCTGTAGGCCGAGGTAGAGGGGAATCCATATTGACATCTGTAGGCCGAGGTAGAGGGGAATCCATATTGACATCTGTAGGCCGAGGTAGAGAGGAATCCATAAAGATTGAAATAATCGTAAATAGACTTTTGTGCGAACATGTCAACCTATATAGTTAGATACGTTTAGACTGAGATAGACAGGGTTTTTTTATTAATCATTTCACAATCAAGGCGATAATGTCACGAAGATACAAGAGTTTACTGAGAATGAAACAGAATGAGAAAACTTTAGTAATCAGAAAGGACAATAAAAGAACAGGTTTCAGGAAGAAATGATTAACATTGGATTGAAATTTTTGAAGGTCGTGGGTGACGGGAAAAGCGAGAAACCGGAAGAGAGTTCCACAGGCCTGAAGTGCGAGAAAAATAACTATTAGAATAAAACTACGTTTAGCTTTTCCAACAGTAAAAGGATGAGACCTATTTGCCGATTCATACTTAAATTCATGCCAAAATGGAGAGCTCATTAAAACAATTGCGAATATTTCTAAAAAGACGGTGGAAAGCCACGTTACGGCGGTGGAAAGTGACTTAAGCCGAGATGCCAGGTCACAACCGATAAGATTACAGACCGTTCTTTAGATTTTGTTATGAATCTCGAGAATTTGGCTAGCATCACATAATTACTTCCATTGTCATGAACCTTTTGTTTTTGAGTCGCTAAGTGTCAACTGATCTAATATCAATTATTTATACCAAACACTAACTTTTCCCGATAGTGACAGCGAAAAAAATCAAGGAATCTCAATAAAATGATTATTTTGTTTGTTGTTCACAAATAGTTATTAAAAATATATTATTATATTTAAGTGTTTCCAAATCTAAACATTTAAATGGTAGAATTTTTTTTATATTATTGATACTTTCTTGGATGTTGTTTTACACTGTGACATTTTACGTTTTCAGTGCTAACTCAAAATAGCAAAAATCATCTGTGCCCCCTCGTACCACACAAGAAGCTTCTGATATTGTCTGAAAAAAAATCATTTCCCCAGAGCAACAAGAGATACAAAACTAACATAAAATTCTTCTATGTGCTGTGTTCCTTCAGGACGTAGACGATCATGACTCTCCACAATTTCCTTTCCTTCATAGCTCTTATTAATTTTTGTCTTTTTATTATCTCGACGAAAGGTTATTTTCATCTGTCTCAATTCCCTTCGATCTGTCCTGTGAGTATCAAATTATCCAAGCCGTCTTTCCTCATTATGTGTCCTAGAAATTTCAACTGCCTCTTTCTAATGTTAAGTATAAGTTTCCTTTTTGTTTGCATTTTCTCTAAAACTTTCGTCGTTTCTCACATGTTCAGTCCATGGTATTCTTAGCGTCATTTAATTGAACCGCATTTCTATTGCCTCAAGTCTCTTCTCCATGTCTGTTGAGATGATCCATTCACTGTTCAGTACTTTTTGCTTCCAATGAAATTTTCCTATTTCTTAGTACTTTGCTTGTTTTTTGGGTGGCATTTTTCGCTATTCCAAAGCGGCTTCGAATTTCGGGTCGCTTTTTCCATACTGTGTTAAAACATGTCATAATTATCTCAATTTTTGAAAGTGTTTAGTTTTGGTAATTCGCGTGTTGGACTGTTCCTTTTGCTATTTTCTTACAGTTGATGATTAGTCCTTTTTTTCTTGCTTTCCTTTGTTTTCCCCTGCCTTCAATCTGTCCTGTATGTATTAAATTTTCTGTTCTGAGGGAGAATATTTCCCTACAAGTTTGGACTCGGCCGTCAGACGAAAGACATAAAAAATACTCCTACATCAAGAGGAGTAGCGGGGGGAGCAGTAGCTTTTGCTGAAAACATTTAGTCTTTTATGAATAACATCGTGTGTATAACCTTAAGAAATATATATTTCAATTTATTATATGTTCAATATTTGCACCTGCAGTTGCGTGCCTAAGAGTCTCCGATGAATTCGCTGATCATTCCGAAAAGAAACGAGCTTTTAAGAGGAAAGCTCTTACGGAAATTGATGTCAGAAATTAGTGGATAAAATCTCTTTTAGAAGAAATAATACATTATTCCTTTTTCTTTTTAACTGTAATTTATTCTTCTCAACAAAGAACACCATCTGGAAAGTAGATATTCCGGAAAACATGTAAAATGTTAGTTTTCCTTTTACACTTTCTAAGTGGAAAGTAATTGTTAAAATCTGTTTAAAACCTTCAACGTTTGATGTTATTTTTTTTAATACTTTTTTTTGGTGGGGGGTTGCACGCAGTTTGTAATAAAGAAGTCATTTTAAAAAGAAAAAAATTTTCTTTATTAAAACCGAATATAAATGATTTTGATGAAGAAGTTCTTCATATCGTCCTGAAAATTTATCGCCATTACATATTAGTAATAAAGGTTCTTGCTTATTCACCATATTCAACGGTGAGTTATGCATTTGCATCTACCCAAAGCAAAGATGGTCAACTGGAGTCGAGACAACATTTCTCAAATCTTCGCTACATTATTGCTATATGTATACCATCGATTTTCTAGCTCTCTTCTCCCGACCCATTCTGGATTATCCGTTTTGCAAGACCAACATTTTCACATGACGACAATCAAATAACACAGCTCTGACCCAGCAATTATGCATCTCTCATATCTCAACATCATCATCCAGTTATAAATCTATATTAAAGTTAGATAAAAGTTTATATTAAACTTAAGTAATCTGTGGTGGGGGATCAAAATTTGATTATGGCTTTAAAAACGAACAGTTTAAATATCCGAGCCTTACAACCGTATCAAGTTCAAACACCGGTTATCGTTTGATCACCGAAGTTAAGCAATGTCGAGCCTGGTCAGTACATAGATGGGTAACCGCTTCCGAATGCCAAGTGTTGCAAATGTGGATGTGCGGGTGGTGTAATGGAATATGAGCCGACCATCATCATCAAAATTGACATTGGAATCACGAATTTCGCTCAATTCTATGTATTTTCTTCTGTTCAGTGTGAAGTGACTGATATTGCAGACATGAGTTTCAATGGTAACGACTTGAAGGAAAATATATTAAAAAGTGTCAAATTTGCTATTAAAAATAATTTATTTTCAGTCGGATTGGTTACATTCACTTACCTTTCCCTAGGGTATTTGAACGTATGTGTCCAGCCGTTCTCTCCAATCTATGGGTTAAATAGTAAGACTTGTATCATAAAATGATTATTACTTTTTAAAAATATTTAAACCAATATTCACTCACTAAAAAAAAAAGAATTATACGATCTCAAAATATGCTTCTGCTTTAAAAAAAACCTATAAAAGGTTGATAATCCATAAAAAAAATAAAGTCAATGTAAATGTCCGAACGATAACTGGTTAGCTTTCTTGTTTCTTTTTGGTTATATTTTTCTGTTTACTATTTTACGGTGATATTTTTTCATCCTTGCTATTTACCACCCTCAACAGTATTTGTTTTACTAAATTTGTATATATCATGTGAATATATACTTTTAAAATCCATAATTATATAAAACTGTTACTAAATCGTTGTAGCTGCCCTAATCATATCAGTAGAAACAGTTAAGTCTTCCTGTCAGGTGATGTCACGAACACATTACTTGCGTACAAGACGGGTAAACCCGCAACAAAAAAGGGTCACAAAAACGGTTATGTACTAATACTTTTTTTTTCTTACTCTCGTGCAAACCACACCTATGTTTATTATTATTTTTTTTTCATCGCAAACCATCTCTGGCGATGCATTTCCGCCAACGATGACCAAGATCTCTTCGTTTCGGGAGTTGACAGTTGCGCAGAGCTTCCAGGAACGTGACTCTTTTTAATCAACATCAAAGGGAACAAAATTTTGAAGAGTTATCAAGGGAAATTAACTGAAACTGAGATGTCCAAATGCTTGACATTTTGAATTATAACAATTTAACCCTGTGGAGTAAATAAAGCCTTCGTTTCGAAATTCCAAGAAATATCACCTGAAGAAAGCCACAATGACCGAAACGTCGTGAATATAGCAATAAAGATGGGGACAACAGTCCGAATAGTGTAAATCGTATCTTTCTTTATTAAAAGCTCTCATGTGGTACTTATTTCTATTCTAGGTTTACTGAAGTAAGCAGTCAGAGCTAGTATATGCGCTGATTCCTTCAGATTTCTGATTCTATTTTGTCTGTTGTTGTAGTGAAATGTCCCACACTCCCTATCGCATATGTGGACTGACTATATCAGTAGATATATATAGAAAGCACAGGATATTCCTGGCGGACTTGGTTCAGGAATTGGTTGGAGATTCGTCTCTAGCTGTGCTGGTCAAACTCTCTGCCTTCGGGGAGAGAGGAATCCAGACAAGGCTATGCCGAAAGGCAGAGTCTCGTCTCTGGTGGTAGACAGCTACCCGACCCCGTGTATACGGGGTCTACTGGGAAAATTTGCCCGAGCCTACGGGCTTGGTTTTTACCCCGCATTAAAAAACGGTCTTGTACCACATCCTGCCTCGCGGGAAGGTAAGGTAAATAAACTTGCTTCGGGAATTAGTCTATAGTTGGAGATTCGTCTCCAGCTGTGCTGGTCAAAACTCTCTGCCTCCGAGCAGAGAGGATCACTGAACAAGGCTATGTCGAAGGGCAGAGTCTCGTCTCGGGAAACAGCTAATAGACCCCGTTTTATACGGGGAATTTTGGGCCTATCCTACGGGCTCGGTTACCCCACATTAAATTCGGCTTTGTGCCATATCTGACCGCGTGGGGCGGTTGGTAAATATCATTGCTTCGAGAATTACTTGGTAACTGATTATCTGTCTATATTCTCTTTTTTACAATAAACCTCTCTTTCTTTCATCTACGCCCGTGTTACTGCTCCTTTCACTCGAGTACGACCTTTGTTTGTAAACCTTCTTTAAGGATACAACATCTGTCTAGTACTTTAACTTCATTCGACAGGGATTGGTGACTAACCTTTCCCTCCCTATATCTGCCAACTGAAGAAGACTGGAGGGCAAAAGGACCGAAACGTTTTGATTAGACAACAAATATAAAGACGTTAATCCGGGCGTAAATAATGGTAACTCGTAGTTTAATTTGTGACGTGATCATACAACTTCTTGATGTCTTCAAGAGGTTGATTATAAACTTCAAATGTGATATTATTAGGGCCATTTAACTGGTTTCCTGCTTCATCAAGAACTCGCCTGAACCCGATGTTTACTTCGATCGTCACCTGTCGATTGGCCCCTTGCAACTCCCTATTACACCCAAATGTCCACGTTTTCCTATGAAGCACTTCCGGCTCTTTCTTGATACACGCTTTCACAATTTAGCCTCGCTGTGATCTAAACCTGATGAAAGCTAGAAGGATCTTTTCTCGCTTTTCGACCCTTGCAGCATTTTACGCGTATTCGTTGCTGTTTCATTAATCGTACTTAATTATACCTCGCTTCGATGCATGAAGTAAATTGGCAAGAGTGCTTCGTCAGCCCACATGTTATGATCAAAAGACCTACTTCAGCCGAGATATCTATTAACCATTTACCTCACTTCCTCTTTGTTTGATTTCGGCTTTTCACTGTCTCTGTAGAACGATTTTTTATTTACTGATAGTTAACCTAATAAAAGGCACAAGAGACACTCAAGGTAGAGTGATACTGAGGGTTATTGTAAGGGATGGAGAAGAGTAATATGAAGACGATTTGGTCAGATATCGGTTGACCGTGGACTTAGAGACAAAGATGGTAGTTGTCAAAAAAAAAAAACATTCCCCCGAGAGTTTATACCGCAAAGTAACAGTTTGCGGCTCTCCCAGCGGAATTTGCTCTTTATCAAAGAACACGAAGAGAATGGGAATGGTCTGCCAACACGAACAGGACAAAGAGAGGAAGCGAAAGGCATACTCAGTGCCTATACTGGGTGTAGCAGGGAAATTGTCTAATTTTTAGATTAATCTTTGAACCGTTGTACATTAGAAGTGATTAAAGATATCTTAATGGAAATCACCGAGGTTTTATAAAACCATTAGACACTAATTTGAACAATAAGAATGAATTTAGCTCTAAGTTGAAATGATGCCCCCCCTTTCTGTTGTAATCTTCTGATCCAATTTTCCTCTCTACTGTGCCCTTTTTTTAAAACTTATTCACCGTTCTATTGATGGTTCTTGAATGGACTTTGAAGATGGAAACCAGAGTATGAATGTTGGTACCATTACTGAAGGCCTGAAAGATATTTTCCTCTCACCGTTGCTCATTTGGGAAGACATAGTAGGGCTGACACAAAACCATTTTAATCTGTTCTCTTTCTAGCTGAATAACTCAAAGGGTTTGTCTGTGATTCTTACGAAAAATGACGTCAAGATGGCTAAACGTCTCATCTGAAAACCTGGCAAAAAAGAAATTCAATTAGTTTAGTGTTTTTTAAGTATTAAACATTTTGTGAAATGGACAATTATCCCATGCTGATAGACGATTTGGACAATTTTGCTGTTACATGCAGTATATATTTATATATACATACGTGTGTGTGTGTGTGTGTGTGCGCGCGCGCGTGCTTACATTCAATCACGAAGTTCGTCATATTAGTCCGTCATTAGACCTTGATGAGGCGTCCTTCGTATTTTCCCTACCTCTATTTAATCTTCTTCTTCTAGTGTAAACCGAACCTCTCTACATTTTTGCCTCTAATGGAAACCAGACTTACGTCTACCTATTTGACTAAAGTCTAAACCGGACCTATATATAAATATATGAAAATTATAGAATCCAACTTTAAATGACATGGAAAAGGCTGATAAGCCGTAAAGCGAACCAAACCATAATCATCAGACTCTTCTTCACCTAGATTGGCTGCCACTCAAGGCTAGAGTGTCCACTTTACTCTGCTGTTCATAGCTGAAGAGATAAGAGATTGATTCACGCCTTTGTTCACAGCCTTAGGGATAAAGATTCATATTTTTGTTCACAGCCTAAGGAATTTAATTTCTCTCAAAATATCCATGTTCTGTGGCGATAACTGTCACGCTATCTGAATGTTCTCCAATCAATAACATCAGCTTTTTAAAAAATGAGATGAAGGAGAGAAGATAACATAAGTAGAAAAAAAAAAAGTCTTTTATATATATATATATATATATATATATATATATATATATATATATATATATATATATATATATATATATATATATATAAAAAGCTTGCGACCTACCGAACGCTCCTTTGTGGCCGAGAGGTTAGGCACGTCAGCGTAAATGACGGTTCCGTATAGGATGCAGGTTCGAATCCTGCCAAAGGACGAATATTTTCTATGAAAAAATTTCTCGGACATTCAGGCCGGTAAATGTTATTTAATACTGTTTATTATAAACAGAGCATTTACTTAAATACTTGTATCTATAAAAAAAGAACGTTAAACATAAAAATGTCTTTAATAAAAAAATTGTCGGACTTAAATTGTCCATTTCTTAATATATATATATATATATATAATACGCCACATATGTATTTACGTTTTTTTTTTGCGTGCAACAATTGAGGGGCAGTGTGCAAAATAACGATGACCCCCACCCGGTTGCCGTGCTAACTTGGTCCCGTAGACGCGTACTGATATCGCTATCGAAAAGGGTTCGTATATATAATACGCCACATATATCTTCAATGCTTTGTTCATTTTTAGAAATTCATTTTAAACTTTAAAAATTATAATTTAAAAAAAGAGGGGAAATAATTCTCGTAATAATTTATCGAAAGAGTTTTTTATTCATATTACATCCTTCATTCATATTACTTACGATAGCAACTAAAAGCTTATACAAGTAAATAATTCGATAGTTTTAATTCAGTTTTTATGTTACGATTCGGAGCATATCTTGTGGAATTGGGTAATCGCTTGAGAAAAATAAA